TCCACTTGCTTGGTCATGTTTGTCCTTGCACAGCAATGGTAGTAGCCACCATGGCCATGCTGGAGGAGAATTCTTCTGTGACAGCTGTTTGGTTTTGTTTGCTAGCCAGAGCACAACTTTCTTCCAGTAACATAGTACAACCTCGCTATAGTTTGTGAGTAAACGTGTGGGTTCTAATCATGGATTTGAATGAGAATTTGAGAGTTTCTTTCCCTCAGGGTGAATACAGCTGTGTGGATGGCATGAGTCCTGTACTGAGGATATGAGTTCCTGCTTAATTTTTTTTCCCCTCTGTTGTCAAATGTGCCAGGGATTCCTTTTTTAGGTTCTTGCTTGAGGAGAGGTTCAGAAACCTAGAAAATGCAGTTCTTTGGACTAGCTTCAAGAAGCAGGGGCTGTGGTATTTGGAAAAGGAGTTTCAGAATACCATATAGTGGTCACTAAATGCTGAGCAGAAGTCCCCTCTTGCCAGAAAAATAATTGATATTTCTCAGATCTCGTACAATTCTTCATTCTTACCCATTCTCCAGTCTGGCTTCATATTCCATGTTTAATTTGAAGTCTTGTGCAGCTTTTCAGAGACAGCTCAGTTATACATATTGGTCTTGGTTTTAGTGTATGTTCCAAAACTTGTTTTCTGGAAACTTAGTGCCTGCTACCTACTGCATGATACACATGCCTGGGAGGATACTCACTAATATTGTCATGTGTATTTTGTCCGAAGCAGCTGTAAGCACATGATGCTCTCTGAATCCTTCTTAAATACCTGCAGTTTCTCAGAGTCTTGATTTATTGGGTGATCTGATAAAGTGAGATGTGAGAGAGTTTTCCTCTAGTCTTTGGACAACATATGCCTCTGCTGGAAGACAGAACATGCTAGATATGCTGTCTGTTCCTGTCGTCTTCTCGTTGGAAGATGGGAGCTCTGCAAAGCTGTACTACGGAATGGCCATCCATCATGATCTTGGAAGCTGCATATCACTTTTTTCATACAGCAGGAGACAAAGTTCAGCAGTTCTACCATGGAGAACCATAGAGACAATGAATGTGGCTAGTGGTTTGTCAGAAGCAGATGAGTGTTTTTTCAGGGTCTCATTGTTCCATTTGGGTTGAAGCTACAGTCAGAATGCTCCAGTAGTTTCAGCCTCTGCAGCTTCTGCTGGAGTCAGGAATCGAATAAGGTGGTGGTCTCCACTTCAGCAAAACTCTGCTGTTGGTGTGTGATCTGAACCTGGAATGAGACTGACAGGAGCCATAGGCTGGTTGATACTTTATTGTGTCCCTGACTGCTCCTTATTTTTGCTCCCCTGAGGACGCTGCTCGGCCCCGCTCTTCACTCGCACACAGAGCTGCTGACCCCAGCTCCGAGTGCGACCGTCCAGGCAATTCCTGATCCCCCAGCTCCGTCCCTCAGAGCCACGTCTCTCCAGCCAGAGACAAGGATGCTGGGTGGGGCGCTGTCAGGTGCTTTGCACAAGTCAGCAGCTGACCTCAGCTGCTCTTCCCGTACCCACCAGCGCTGTGACCCCGCTGCACAAGGCCACCAAATTCCTCAGGCAGCGTTTCCCTCAGTGAAGCCGTGCTGGCCAACACCAACCCCCTCCTTATTCTCCATGTGCCCCAGCGCAGCTTCCAGGAGGATCCGCTCCGTGATCTTGCCGGGCACAGAGGTGAGACTGACTGGCCTGCACTTCCCTGGCTTTTCCTTTTTTCCCTTTTAAAAACCGGGGTTGTGTTTCCTCCATGCTACGTTTCCCCATCTTCCCCTCTGACTAGTTCTCATGTTTGTTTCTTCTGGTCATGCCTCTTGTAACAGGATAGAGCACTTATTCTGAGCAGTTATGCTCTTTCCATAGGGGTCTAACCATGAAGCTCTCCTTGGCCCTATAAGCATTAGTTTCCTGATAACTACTTGGAGGGCTAAATCCTGTGCATTGCCCTTCCCCTTCTAAAATGCATCAGGTTAGTATCTGTATCATGGTTTTTCCATTTAGTAAAGCCTAAAATCACAAGAAATTGTTAGCTGTGGCACCCCAAAGGTCTAGTAAATATTTTTAAGTGATTTGTTGGTTGTTGATAGAAGTATGGAGGTTATTTGAGTTTTGAGGGCCCTGTTGCTTCCAGGCCTGTGATGTTTGTCTGCTAAACTGTGCACAAGTCTTTTTTGGGCCACCTAGCTTTTCGAAGAAGACAGGAGTGTTCAGAAATGCAACTTTGCTTTTGCTAAATGCCTGGGCACTTTGTGCTACATAGAGTATGTGCCCTGTGTGTGAAGGTGGGAGGCTTGAGCTGGGGTATGCAGAGGGCTCAACTGTTGAAATACCGGAATGCCTTGAAAACCCTATTCAGAGGTCTTTAATATTCTACACTGCATATACTTAACTGTCTCTGGAATTGTGCATAATTTGAAGGTTTTTGCCTCTACATAGGAAGGTTGTGTTCTCAGGTGTTTGGGGCATTGTTGGTGGAGACAGGGTGTCGGCCAGTATTGTCATAGAGAGGCGGATGAAATCACCAATTTCTTTTTCAAGATGAGGAAACACAGGCTTTGTAAAAGGAAGAGAAGAGGCTCTTTCAACTTTGGGCTTATCCTGATTTCCAGGGACATAACTGGAGAATATGCTTGGTGTCTATGATCTAAAAGGCTATTAGCACTTGGAAGCTGTTACGGAAGAACAGCATTCTGGAGGAAAGGGGCTGCGGAAAGAATTTTCTGTTCCTCTTGGCCTTCTTCCAAGATGTTTTCTGCACTAAAGAGAATAGAGACAGTACTTTTTGTATGGTTGGGAAAAAAAGACCAAGACTTTTCATCTCGTGACAGTGTATAGAAAGATCCTGAACTGTTCATGTGGTGGTTTGTAACACTATAATGCCTTACCCTGGCAGACGGGGGGTGGGGGGGAAGGACAAAAGGGTGGAAGTTTTCTTTTAATCATCAGGACTTTTTGAGGTGATAGAGTTACAGAGTAAAATGTTCCTCTTCTGTTGGTTTACCATTTGTCTGCTCTGTAACACTAACCCACTTAAAATTTGTGCGGCTCTTTGAAGTTATTTTAAACCCTCAGCAGTGTATACAGATTTTGTAACCTTGGATAAAAGCACCTGAGTTGTGGTTTCAGTTTTGCCCTTTCAGGCATGTGGAAAGTGCCCCAGCACATTTCAAGGATTTTGAACTAGAAACTTCTTAGATATGGGCTATGGTTTCAAAGCTCAATTGATACAGCATACATCAAGTGAATTACATCAAGGGAATGGTTTTCTGTTTCTTTAGATATTAAATATAGATTAAAGCTTTGTGTTTACTTAAACGATCCCATGGACTCCTTTTTGGGGTTAATTATGTTGGAATATATGCCCTGGCAATTTTGGAGAGAGCATTCTCTGCCTGACTCCCTTCCCTGTTTTTATGTCTGTGTGGAACAGTTTTATCCATCAGATGCTGAGTTTAAGGTGTGGTTCACCTTCCAGTGATAGTACCTGTCCCAAGTTTTTACACAGAGTAGGTTGAACTGCTCATCTGTGTGAGACTGTAGACAGCTCATAGTGTGTAATAGCAACTCATAACAAAAGAAGGGTGAGGGATGAATTAAGAGTTGGGCAGAGGATGCTACTCTGTCTGGTATTGCAGTGGCTTGTTTTCTCAAAATACAGGCGGATTGGTGATGAATCTTGAAAAACAATGAGTGGTAGGAAAACCTCTGCACTGTGTCAGATCATCATCATGTTTCCCATATTTTGCAGTAATCACTAAAGTTTTTCAGAAAGTCAGGGCCCCATGAGACAATATAAATAGCTTTCCTGATAGTGAATCACTTGCAAAATGAAAGTCAGGGTACCAGACATGGGAGAAAAGGACAAAGCAACAAGCTGGTGAGGCAGAAGAGATGGCAGGATTAGTGACCGTTACATGGTGCTACTTTGTGTGGGTTGGTGAGATATATACCTATGTAAGTTATTGAGCAGTATAATCTCCTATCATAATGAGCGACGAGAAAACAAAAGTGTCATAGTGTTGATGCTAGTTTGTGGTTTTCTTCAGTTAGTTTGGCAAAGATGAGATTTAAGGAAAGGCAGGAAGCTGGATAACATACAGACTTTTCATGAATAATGTTTTCTGTGTATATGTGAAGTCTGGGCAACTCTTACGCAAGTGTCTGAAAAATCTGAGCCTTTGAAGGGAAAAAGAACAAGGAAAACATAGCGGTGTAAGAAGTTAAATGTTTCACACTTTATACGTGAAGTATGAAGAACAGCAAACTTGGAAAAGACAAAGTAAAAAAGATTGATGGATAGGAAGCTCCTTGCCATAATAAGAGTAACTACATAGTATTGGAAGGAGGAGGAAGGGCTTGAATATTTTAAGTTAAAGCAAAAAATGTATTGTTGTTTTGTGTAAGAAACTCATGTATCTAAAAGGAGATTGAAGTTTGTCACTCCATCATAGGGTTCAGAAAAAAATAGACTGCTCCATAACTTAGGAAGTTTCTTGTACCTTACTTTGAACTACATGATAGGCACGTTCCAAAGGATGACAGATAGTTAATACTGTGCAGATATTTTTTTAAAAAAAGCGGTAATGCCTCTCAAACATTGGTTCTGGATCATATGACATGTAAAGCTTTTATGAGTGACTCTGCAAAACAGTTTGTGTCATTTCTGTTAGTTTGCAAGGAAAGGTGATTTGCAATTCAGAGTGGAGCTTTGTACTTGATTATTTTATATCTGAGAAGAGGACTTATAATCACATTTAATTGTGAGCCTTAACTAATTTTTCATTAACAAGGTGACAGTGAGCTCACGTAACATTACAAGATTTTGCACTCATAGCATGCTTCAGAAACGTTCTGAATTCTTCATAGATACAGTCTTCTGTTTCGGTTTTTCTGGTGTACCTTAATAAATAAAAGCGTGTTTGTTACAAACTAAGGTATTCTAAAGCAGTCTGTATATGTTTTGAATTCAATTGATTGACTAAAGGTTTCTTTCTGATTCTGTTCCAGATGCATCCACTTGGACTGTGTAATAGCAATGATGAGGAAGACCTGTATGAGTATGGCTGGGTCGGAGTGGTGAAGCTGGAACAGCCAGAGTTGGAGCCAAAGCCATGCCTCACTGTCTTAGGAAAGGTAAGGAGTAGTTTGGGGTAAATGCTGCATATAACTGTTTCTTGGAAGGGTTAGTTCCTTTCTGAGAAAAATCAGCAAGAAAAAAAACCAAGAGAAAATATTCCCATTTTGGCTGTTTTCACAGTAGGTGCTTTGGGGAAGGATAATGCCATAACTCCGTTGACAGAGATGGTGATGAGGAGCTGAGTACACACATTACCTTTTTTGAGCTCTGTAGAAACCTAACAAAGACTTCTGCAAAAATGGTGGTTTGGCAGAACAGTATTGGAGTAGATATAGGGTGAACTGCAAGTGTGATGCTAACTCAATCAAAAGCAGTCAAAATGAAAGCACTCTGTTGGTTTTCCTTAGGTACATTTTCTCAGAAGACATACATTGATTTTCTTTTTTTTTTGGGGAAGAGGAGTCTTCAACCCTAGAAGGGATTTCTTTGCTTTAATTGCAGGATAGGTATCTCTAGTAACAAATGAACCTTATTGTATTGGTCAAAACCAAAATAATTTTCATCTTGATGGATTCTCTTTGTGGAATAAGGCCTCTGGAATCTAAAGGCCTTGCAAAACATTCTCCCTTTGTTTTATGGGGTGAAGTCAGTTAGATACCATTACTGCTGCCAGACATGTTAAAAATGAAAGCAGAAAGAGCATGGGCCACAAGTTCTACCAGTAGTTGTACTCATACTAACTGAGTAGTTGAAAACTCATGTCAGGAGTTCATCATAAAATCCAGCTGGCTCACGTTGCTGAGACTTTGGTAGTATAGTGTTGGTGACTTCAGGTGAGCAGTGAAAATGCAGTGTATCAGGCAGAAAATAAAACCCTAGGTTGATATTTTGCAGATTAAACTTGTGTCTGCATATTTCTGAACAAAACTTGTAAAAAGCCTACATTTGAGAGGAAATGGGAAACCATGTGCTTGTCTAAAATTTAATGCAGGTTTAGCTTGTGCTGCATGATGAGAAACATCACTTTAAGAAGTGATTGCTCTTTCTATTGAATTTCAGCATAATGCAACTTTGTTTTCTAACTTGGAATACTGTTCCTGTTTCACAGAAACTTCAGCTGATGCTTCTTTGCTCTTAGGAAGATAAAAACTGAGGATAAGGTCTCGTGAGGATGGGAATTAGAGCAGATTGGGTACTGAAAGATGCACAGCAATCCATAAGTGAATTCCAGGAGTAAATTGAGTCTTGGGGAAAGCTGTTTAAGGAAAGAATCTGTTCAGTCCTTTCTATCAGGCTCTTGAAAAGCATGTGAGGAAGTAGGTGAGTTGAATGAAGAAAGTGGAAACCATAGATATTCTGCACAGTGTCATAAATGTTTTCTGACATAGTGACATTGCTTGCCTGACCCACTGCTTTGTACCCAAACCCCTCTACTCCCCATGCCCCCAGCCACCCCTCTCTCTGGAGTGAGCACACCTCAGTATCTGCTGATCCGAGCTTCCTGAAGCTTGGCCTGCTGAGCAGCAGACCCTGGCTTTGTTTCGGGAGCTCTATACATCTACTTTGATGCATGGTGATGGTGATGTCACTCCTGCACCCCGCGTAGGGTGTGTCCAGACCATTTGGGCACAAGGTTTTCTGTGTGTCAGCTTGTGCAGTCATTTTAACAGGTGAAAAAAGGCTAGCCAAGGTTCTAGGCAGTATTTGCTTCACAGCTCCTCCTTCTGTATTTTCATGTCAACATTTATCCTTCTTTTCCTGAAATACTTATTCCCTACTACATGCTTGCTGCTGTAGTTCCTCCCCTCTATCCTTTCTCTGTAACCCTTCTGTTCAGTCCTCCCTATGCTCAAGTTATGTCCTGATTTAGAAGTACTTCTCCGAATTCTTGAAATACTGTTGAGTGCAGATAGCAGCAGAAGTATCAGCCATAAACTTCTTGCAACTCTGTCAATTCAGCCAGCCTGGTTGTCTTACCAGTGGGAACAAATTGCATTGCGATTGGGTGTCTGAAACGTTTCGTTTCCATGCAATTTGCTGTAAATTGCTACACGAGTATTCAGTTTGGCCTGGGTAGGTATCAAATCTGCTGCATGTGTATGTGTCTTCTGGGGTTTTTTTAGGATTTAGCAGCTGTTTGACTTAAAAGAAAACATGAAAGAGGAAAGGGAGGGGGAAAGGAGGACAAGGGGAGGGGAGAGAAGGAGGTAAGAGGAGGAGAGGACAGGGGAGGGGAGAAGAGAGAAAATGGAATGAAAAGGAAAAGGCAAGGAGAAAGGAAAGGAGAGGGGAAAGGAAGACAAAAAGGAAAAGAAAATAAGATGGAAGAAAGTTGTCCTCGAACACAGAAGGGAAATTAATTTCTTCCATTTAGAAAAGGAGGAAGAAAATCAGAGTGTAAAGCCTACTGTTTGCACCTCATTTAGTTTGATTTATCCTGCCCCTGAGGTGTCTTGTCCTGCACTATTGGATCTTCCAGACAAATACTGTGTTTGCCTTTCAATAAAGTTGTGGTAAGCTCTTGCTTTTCCAAAGTTCTGTAAAGTAGACCTGCCCAACTGTGACATCTACTGCAGAGATAAGCTGGATTTTACAAGATGCAGGGCTGATGCAACATTTCAGAAACATAGTGGCCTCTTGGGTATATGAAGTGTTGCATTTCAGCTTTGCTGGTGCTGCTGGTACACAGATATTATGCAAGTGAGATAAATGGCAAAGCAACCATGCACACATGTGCATGAATGACTCAGGTGGGTAACAGTAAGACTTCAGTGAATGCAAATATTCTTACCTCCTTAAAAGATGTAGTGGAGTGCATAAAATTGAGTATATAGGGCATTTGAACTTCCAGACCACAGGAATTCTGCTTTGCCTAGTGAAGTCTGACTGTGTGATCAATTATACCTCCTGCTGGAAGCAGATATATCTCCCCCTTTCAGTTGACATTTATTTCCTAATGCCGGAATTGATACTGGGATCTTCTAGTATCTATTCTTAGTTCTTAATTCCATTAGAAACCGTTCTGTGAGATGAAAGCCAAGTCTTGTGTGTTGGGAAAGTGATGTGATTGATTCAATCTGACATATTGATTTGATAGTAGGAATAAAGTTGGTGCCAGGAAGGTGAGAGAAGTTAAGGACTTGCTTTCTTTTAAAACTGTCATAGGCATCACTGGAAGTCCGCCTCAGTAATTTAGGGCAAAATAAAAAGACTTTGCCGGGACAAATAATTTGTAAGCCCTGTTTTAAGGGAGCCAATTTAAACTTGTTTCACTAAAACTTTTTAACATTTGTGTTGAGTAATGTAGTAACAGCAAAAAGCTGAGTGCTTGTGTCTGTATAGTGGAATGCATGAATCTATGAAGGAATAAATTATGAGGTTTTGTTTAATTGTTTAGTAGTAAAGGAAAAGAAAGAAAATAGAGAAAATACTGTGGAAAGCTTATATTATTGTGAACTAGAATACAGATTATTTAAAAGCTGTTTGTAGAGCTAAATTCCATGACACGCAAATCTGGTACAAAGATCTATGGGTTTATTCTTATTGTTGTTTTTTGTTGTGGCTTTTTTTGGTTTGGGGTGGGGTTTTTTTTGTTTTTTTTTTTTTTTAATCAAAACCCTGGTCTGTGTTTTCAGAAGCTTCATTCCACTTGTTTATCCATGTGCTAAATGGGATTGGTAGCTGTACAGAATTTAACTTGTCCATTCCTATATGGATTTTTTAATTGCTCATTCTTCTGAGTCAGATTTATATGGCGTAATGGAAATGGAAGAGTTTAAAAAAATGTATCTCCTGTTAGAGTGCCCGTGAAAACTGGACCCTGATTGGGAAAAGGGTGTGTGTGGCAGCTGTGATTTAACTTTGCCTTTGATCACAGTGCAGCCCTGTTTGAGGCAGTGCTGCATGCAGGCAAAGCAAAGGCTGGGGTTTTACTGATCTCATGAGCTCCTGAATAGGGCTAGAAGGGGAATGACAGAGGAAGAAGAAAGCTTTGGGAATGAAAAGGAAACCCTGTGAACCCGACCAGCATTATTGGCTGGATTTGCCTACCAGGGAGCCGCTCAGTTTCTGCCAGGCTAATTCTGCTCCAGCTTCTCTCCCCCACACCCCCGACCCCACCTCCCCCTCTCTTTCCTTCTTTCAGACTTTTTTTGTTGTTGAGGCATGGCTGTAGTAACTTGGTTCTCAGGCTGGGAACCCACTGAGCTGTTGCCATGGTCACTGGGAAGCTCTCCGTGCCATGTGCTTCAAAGGGAACCTTTCCCCTCCTGGAATTCCTGCCTTCTCTGCAGACAGCACAATGAGAGCCCTTCTCCCGAGCCGGCCGCGCTGCCCCAGCAGCAGCTTTGCTGGGAGAGGGGACGAGCAGCGCTGCCTAAATACCTGCTGTCTTCTGCCTCCCCTCTGCTCGGTGGCGGGACCTGCACGTGTCCTGCACATACCAATCCACAGCCTCCTCTTCTCCCCACTGCAGTCATTTCTGAAGCAAAGAACATCTGTCAAGACAGTGAAATACAGCCCAGCAATACTGTTGTGGGCTCGTTTTTTTACTTCAGTACAGGATAGGTAGTAAGAAAATGCTGAAGATTTGCTTCGGAGTAGCACTTCTCCCCTTCCTGCAGGCTTCATAGTCGACAGGGAAGGATTTTGTTCTTGTTTCTCTTCCAGGGACTGCTGAGGGACTTTTCTCCTGTATTAAGAGGGTGTATGTATTTGAGGATGTGCATCTGAGTAGAACCTAACAAAGAGAGGATGTCCCTGCTACTACAGCTTCCTATTTTCTTCAGATCAAAGCAATCTGTAATATGAGGAAACTTCTATCAGCTCTTCCAGGATCCATTCACTTATTTTCTCTCTTTAAGTGTTTATTTACAGAAACGGTTACACAGATGTTAACTAGAAGAATCTCTTGTTTTGCCATGTCATCATTATGATTATACTACTGAGGTTGGGCCCAGAATAATCATAATTGTGTCTGCATTAAACCGTCTAACTGTGATTCATAACCTTTTTGTCTAAGAATTTAATTTAAATATGAAGATTCTTAGAAGGTAGT